ATTATGGCCAATAATATGGAGTTGAACCCCCCCCCACCCCATTATGGCGATTAATATGGAGTTGAACCCCCCAATTAATATGGAGTTGACTTCCCTTTGTAGCTATAAGATCCTTCACTCTCCTGGGAAGTCTTTCCATAGGACTTTGGAGGTTGTCTGTGGGAATTGCTGCCCATTTGTGAAGTCGGGTACTGATGTTGGAGAAGACCTGGCACACCATTGACATTCCAATTTATCCCAGAGGTGTTCAGTAGGGTTAAGGTCAGGGATCTGTGTAGGACTCTCGAGTTCCTTCCATGTCTTCATGGAGCTGGTTTTCTGCATCTGAACTCAACGATACTTACGAGATATCCATGTTCCATAGGGTTGAGGTCAGGACTCTGTGCAGGGCATTCGAGTTCCTCCACACCAAGCTGGTCCCGCCATGTCTTTATGGAGCTGGCTTTGTACACAGGAGACAGTCATGGTGGAACGGAAAAGGGTCTTCACCACAAGGTTGGAGGAGCACAATTGTCTACAATGTCTTTGTATGATGTAGTATTAACAGAACCCTTCACTGGAGACTCCTGAACTCCATGTTTGGAGGGGGGTCCATATAGGTTTGGCCATGTAGTAGGAGTGCTGGTCAGGTGTTGTCATATCAGTGATAAGCTTGTCTATATAGTGACAATAAAGATGTCCTGTCCACTGAACATTTCCACAGATCCAGATGCTATTTTCTACTGTACCTGAGATCCTTTCTGTTTTGTTTGGTTTTTTTTTTAGATGGTGGGAGCACACTCCACAGACCCCAGCCTCTTCCTCCATCTTCCATGCACCAAGGGGGTCTATCAGCTGCATCTGCAGACGCTGGCACATATGGAGCCAGACACAGCTTCTCCACTTACTCTGACAGCTTTATGAACCCTGGTGGACCGTCCAATCACATGAATCCGGTCAGCAATGGCCTCTCCCCCCAGGTAAGCAGCACTGGAACTAACTTCTTCACTTGGTATAACTTGTCCGCAGACCAATGTTTAATTTGTTGTTATTATTATTATAATGTTATTTATGTTTGTATCAGAGTAAAGAGGATGTATTTATTGCTGAATAAAGCTCACTTCTGATTATTTGATTGGCAAATATGATAAGAGGAAGGAAAAGCCAAATATTGAAGGTCATGGAAATAGAAAGGGCGAGATAGAGCAGAAGGTGGGAAGACGGATGTTCATGGTTCTTTCAATGATGAGGGTTGTAGTGTAATTTTGCAGTGTTATGTTTGGGCCTGCTCTAGTCCTGTTTGACTGCCCAGCAAGGACAGGTTTTGGGAGCGTTGGGTATGACAAGTTTAAGTGACTTTCAGCATTTAAGAACATCACTGTGACACCAAACCTTTCCACAACCTAACCTATCTTCAGTGGACGTACGCGGACAAATGTGGAGCTGAAAGGCATAGTCCAGCGTATACAAAAAATTATAAATGCACAGGCCTTCATGAAACAAAAAAAATGTGCATTTATGATTTTTTACATCTGAGCCTGCAAAGAATTGCAACCACGATCAGAGTAGAAGGTTAGGCAGCCTTAGCTACTTTGGTTTACAGAACTCAGAAGCTGAAATGTACATACAAATAAATGAGTAATCCATCCCCTTCCCTGCCTGTTCTTTTTTATATGGGGCTCTATGAAGTTTCATTTGAAGAGAGAGGGTTCTAAAGGATACAGCTTCTGCATTAGAAAGCCTGCAGTGCTCTGTGGCACCAGTTGTATAAGTACGCTGTATATTAAATGTTTATTGGTACAAAGATGATTTCATGTAATTCCCAGATAGCAAGCAATTGAGCTGCAAGTTTGAAAATGACTTGCTAAACTATTGCAGACTTGCCAAGCTTCACCATTTTATTGCACAATTACAGCAAGTCTGCATTGCAAGTCCAGACCAGCGAGCGTGCAGAGCTCTTGGTAAGACCTGCAGGACTCTTGCTGTAGACTTGCCAAGCAAATTTGCTACAAATTCAAAAAGTGTCGCCTAGAACTTGTGCTGCGAGTGTTCTGCAAGTCTACGACCTGCCAGAGAATGTGCGCAGCAAGTTAACAAAATTACAATTTAACCCTGACACAAGTTTGTGGCAAGTTATCCTTGCTATCTGGGTTAGTGTATATATATATATA